ATTTGCCCATTGAATCGATAGTTCATCTATTGACTGCTATTCAAACATTTAATCGATCAGTTCATCAATTGACCCCAATACAAATATTTAAACATTTAATCAATGAGTTGATTGATGCGATAAAATTTAAAATATGAGTTTGGGTATCTATCGTCCCCAACACTATGTCACCGTAAAAACTGCAGCCCCATTGCGTTCACGCTTCATCCAGGTTGTTTAAGTATGTGCCACCTGAAAAAACTTTGCTGCTGTTCGTAGACAACTTGGCATAAGTGCTGCCTCAATACTGGAGGATGGTTTTTTTTTAGACATAGCTGTACACACATAAAATGCACATAAAACTGTGCGAGCTGTACTGTAAGTTGCTTCAACCCAAGAGAAAACGGATCTTGCACAACCAATTGCAAATGTTTCCGTATGACTAGTGTTCGTCACGTTTAATTCAAATTGATAAGTGATCTACACTGCATCTACTTTTTTCTTAGTTCAGGCAAATATAGACGAGGTCCCGCGTCCACTGTTACTTGTAGCAACCAATTAAAACAGTTTAAAACTGAAGACGTTCGTAAGGGGAACATTTTCACTTTTCTTCCTCTGTTAGTGTTGCATGTCGGATAGATGCAGCTAATTAATTCAGGAAAACGTTTGTACATTTTCATTTGCTCGTATGTATTGGATGCTATTCGCGTCACTTGGTTTTGCAGCAACACAAAAATATTTATAAGATATGAATTTAGATGGTTTTAGTCACTACCACAGTAAGCGCGCTTTATGAAGGTTGCGTTGCGACAAGCGGGGCACGGACTAGCGGGTAAGCCAGGGATTTTCGCGCACACGTTACATATTGTCGTGGATTTTTTGTGTCGTTATTTATCAGCTATTAACAGGCTTTTTTGCATGACACATCAATTTCTGTATTGCTAGTGCTTGTAACATAGTTTTATTCCAATTTATTGGCAGTTTGACGTATTTCTTGCTCACCACGTAAGTAAATCTGAAGTTAGCTTAATATAGTTATTTGTAACAATACAAACTCAAGCAAGTAAAGTTCACCGTTTTTCTAGTCAAAAAATACACCACAGATTGAGTTTTAATGAAAATTAACCGTAAAATCTTTTACATATGGTTCACCTCCTTGATTGCAGTGACGGTGAACATGGATGTCGGTAGTTGTTTATAAAATGTAAGTAGAAGCAATCAAGCGTTAACCTAATTGTGAATATTATATAACTTGCTTGTATTTAGCCATAAAAAGTTATATTTATTAGAGGTACCATTGTTTTGTACTGAAGTGACATAATTATGTAACGTATCTGAGAAAAGAAATATGTGGGTAACAATTGACGTTTATAGTGTTGTCCAGCGGCTTTCTGAACGTCTGCAGTAATAGTGTATAACACCACATCAAGTAGGAACAAAATCTTCATGAATAAAACGATCGGTGTTTCTTGTGAGAATGGTGACACAACCATGTTTTTTAGTTAATACTGATTTGTGAGGTGTCTGTTATAGGGTTCACAAATGAGTTATTATATACTCTTCACTCCGTCTCGGTAATACAGTTGTTGTGTTACTTAGGAAGTTATGAATGAATGTCACTACTTGTTAATAAAAGACTTATAGGCACAGTCTGTTACTTGCTATTTGAATAACTTATTGAATATGATACTGAGAACAAAGTTTAATTGTTTGTCTCAAAACGGATTTGTTGTTTTTCAGAATAGTATGAAGCTTATGGAATTTAGGATTACGGAAGATCGTGTGGAAAACCGGTTTACAAGTTTACGATAACTGTTTTATATTACCTACTGCTATGCTCATTCATCTAATGAATTATTTAAATATAAATATAACAACCATACGCAGTGTTTTATATTATAAATCCTGTAAGTTTGTATAATTATGGTCTAAATAAAGCCAAAACAAACATTGATGCAGAATCATGTGACTGCATTACATTTCGTGGTTTCTCATAAGTTGCATACAACTGAATATGCATTATAATTTAAGATTGAGGGAAGAAATAGTATAAAAGATAATAGAAAGCAAAGAATTGGAATGACCTAGGTTATCAATAATAACTATACATATGTATATGCTTGAACAGGTCAAAGGTCATTTGGTGTTAGACTTAAGGGAACATAAAGGATGGGTGGTGTAATAGTCGAGTGAAGCTCAGAAGCATATAAGATAAATTGTGTGATAATTCTAGATGTAATGAATAAATCAGTGAATTAAGAACTAATAAGATAAGTGAAGACAATCTGAAGAGTTAACATAATTTAGCAAAGAAGTGTGAGTGGAAAGATGGTCTAAGGATTACGTAATCCATCTTATCAAGGAACTAGCTGCATGAAATTGTCTAGTTCCATACTAATACTAACTTGATAATGGACGTAATCTGACAACGGAAAATATGTAAGGCGGTTTAGTCTGTAAGGTTTTACGTGGAAGTCGCATTATTGTTTTATTTGACTCGTTGATTCCTCACAATGAACAACGATATAACGCTAAGTTCTAACGACAGTTCGTAACTAATGCAGTAGTACAAATTCTTAATTTTCACACACAATTATTCGTTAAAGCGATTGGTAAACCTCCCCATGAAAGTATGAAGAAGACGAAAATAAAAAATGAGAAAAAGTTTATTGATTTTTCATGACTATTAAAGTGGAAAGATAAGTTTACAAGTTGTATAAATAGCCACAAAGAACTGTTAATCGTAAACCTGCTGTCTAGCTGTTTATAATTCTTAAGTAAAAATTGTAGACTTTTCTCTCCACCTGATTCGCGAAGCGTTCACCATATTTCTCAACAATTTGTTGTTTGCACATTCTTTGGAGCCGTTGAAGTTGTATATATTCTTTACTCCGTCTCGGTAATGAAATTCCTGTGTTGTTTTGTAAATTGTGCGTATTGTCTAATTTCCATCTGCAGCAACACCTAAGAAGTTGATGAGCTATGCAGTTTATATTTTATAATTTAAATACCTTACCTGTTAGACTTCGTCTTTTAATATATGCCAGCAGGAGATGGCGGCACGGATATCGACACATATTAAACGTGCTACAATTGCATTCACAAATACTTACATCCACTTCGTAATGAAAGGCGCACAAAATAATGTTTGCATGCTCGTGCGTTATACGGACAGCCGCGCTTTCAGATCGTGCGAAATCCATCACAAATGTTTCTGTTTTGGTCGTGTTACCCATTATCTCCTTGAATTTATCCAAAACCCACGTAACATCGGCACGCTTTTCTTTTTGTGTCCATGCAAACATAACAGTTCGACCTCGGCCCCAATTGTCTGTCACCACTAACTGGAATAATGAATATCTACATAGTAGAACAAAACGAAAACCATATTCACTTTTTATTATTAGTTTTATAAGTAGAATCAATACACACGACTTCGGGATATTGACTGTACAGCCGTATCTGATCATAACTGCTGAAGCATATCGCCGTAATACATCCATTTTCTGCATGCTCTCTAACTTCACCGTTTTGTCGCATCATCTGCAATACCTGCTTCCGAGTCCAACCTGAAATATATTTATATACACTTACCAGTGGAGAGTTCAGCTTTCATATTTTTTACATCAGCAGCGGTCACCTGCTTACCTGTTCTTTCCTTAATACTTTCGATAACTTCGTCCGTCGACTGACAGTGCAATATAACTGGTTTCAAGTTTTCTTTTTCTTCTGATGACAATCGTTTACTCAACGGATCACAAACCATCCACGAACTAGTACACCGATGGTTGTGAGACATGTTGTAAGATTTTATAACGTATTGTTGACCCTCCAATCTTACGCGAAACATCGATTGGCAATTTAGAAATTTAGACCTTAAATGTAACACATTAGTTAGAGTCCTCACGGTTTTTTATTCACATTCAGACCTTCTGATTTACGTTTACGACCAAACGTGCAACGAAACACTACGAACAAGTATTTATATCTCACATCCTTCAACAATCTACTTTCTGCGTGAACATAGTGTGTATGGGTCATCTGAGAAAACATAGGTTTATCCTATCATACTTTAATCCAGCTTCCGAATCTCTTGTTCAGCATAATACGTTGGAACGCGTCGCTTACGTTCACTGAAATTTCACTTGAGCATGAAGCACTAGAGACAACATACAATAGTTATTAAAAAAAGGTTATTCCTTGAAAAAAATTAACTGAAGGAAGAACAACAAATATTTAGGACTTACCCTTCAGTTGACATTTCGTCTTAACTCACAAAAACTAGGCGCATCTATAACCTTTTACGTTATTTTATCTTTCTTACGTTGTTTTCTGGACCTTATCAACAAATTATATATAGCTGTTGACTTTCACTACAGCACTTAGGACCACAGATCAAGTTTCGAAGGAACAACAGAGCTAAAGTGTGCACTACAAAACAGAAAATACTCAGTTAATGCTCTTAGCAGTTATTTAGTGTTTATTATGCATCAAAAGATGACTTATATATGGAAACATTTAATACTCATAGGACCCAACACACACACGACAATTGAAATACGGAATGCCCGCTTCCAGTCAGCGCGTTCAAGGTCGTTGAAACGAAACGGCGGACAGATTTGAAAGGGATTACCGTTTATACCTTGCCGACAAGCGGATGATGTTCGAGGATAGGTCCATTGAAGGTGGGAACTTCTAGAAATCGCAACTTTATATCCCTTTAGAATATCTGAGGCTTTAACGATGGTGCAGTTTTCAGTGGCATACCTCAAGGAGGCTGAAAAAGTGTGCAAGAAAAAAAAGACGAGAAGCAGAGGGCAACGCTTCAGGACTATCGTCCACTGATGGAGGTTGGAGCACCTGGAGGTTAAACTGTCGCAAGCTGATTGGTGCGTCACATCGATAATTTGTGAAGTTTTCCAGAAGCGGTCAAATCAATACATTTTCAGACTTGTTTTGAGTTCAGCCGCACCATGTGTGATAACGTTCATCCTTGAAGTAACGAAAACGATTCCATCGTGATGATGCATGATATAAGACAAATCTTCGATAATATTACGTCATCTCGCCGATTTACAAGTTGGGACAATCTTGAGACCTATTTGAAAGATGTACATAGGGTAATATGACTTCTTTGGTTAATAATTATTTTTGCAGTACACGCATACTAAGTACTTTATATCAGTATGTAAAGGGAACAATGATGACCCAACTCTAAAGTATTTTTTCGTGAGATATGTCTGTACACATGGACGTAAACGCAGTTCGTCAGAGTCAGATGCTTGTGGTCAGGATGTAGATGATGATAGTGATCATCATTCTTCTGAAGAGCATACAACTTCTAACTCACCACCACAACCCAGACAAAGAAGACGACGTTAGTCATCTACGTATGTCTTATTTCGACTGAATTTTCCCTACAGGTTGAAATATTCCCACTATCAATCCGGATTTTTGGTCCGTGAAGTAAATGGTGAGCTAAAAGTCACCTCTATTAATACCGTGCACAACCATCCTTGCACTGAAGGCTATATTTCTGTAGATCCTTCAAGACGACAGTTGACGTCAATTGAACGCTTATATTTAAGAACGTTTCTATTGAGTAATACGCCAACTCGTAGCTTACGGCATCTGGTTTCTTGGAAGTTCCATAAACAGCTTACCAAGGACGATAACGCTAAAATGCGTTCACAGTTGTACCCAGCTAGTATGTATCGACTGGACTTATCAGGCCAAAAAAGTTGGATAAGTAATAAGCAGTAATAAATTTACCCTAAAGTCTTCCACTAGCTCCTCCTGGAGTCCCTCCGGGGACTACTGTCGATCCCAAGCCCGGATAAAGGAGGAGGGCTGGGCATGGGGTTAGCGACCCCATCCCGTCGAAAGCTAATTCGCTAAAAAAACGCTAACGGGAAAAAATTATACAAACTTTTTAAACTCTGCCCTGGGAGTCAGGTCTTCATTTAAGAAGTTATGACGCCTCATGATGAAAGCCGAGTTCGTTCGGAAGTTACGAGGCCGATGCCCCTTCTGACAACCAGAGCAAACATTTATTTAGGTACATGGAATACTCGTACAATGTAGGAGATCGGGAGAGTTCCAAATTGCTGCAGAAATGAGGAGATACAACCTAGAGGTGCTTGGGATCAGTGGAACACGTTGGACAACAACGACTAGCTTCAGGGGAGCTTCTGTTATACTCCGGCCATGATGAGGATAATGCCCCGCATACACAAGGAGTTACATTGATGCTGTCCAAACAAGTACACAATACACTTATAGGATGAGAATCTCATAGACCAAGGATCATCAAAGCCACCTTCAAAACAAAGAAAGAGGGTATGTCAATGAGCGTCATCCAATGCTACGCGCCTACCAACGACCATAATGAAGACGCTGAAGATCAATTATACAATAAGCTGCACTCAATCGTTGAGGAGGACCCAACAAAGGACCTGACCATTCTGATAGGAGATTTAAATGCCAAGGTTGGAATGTACAACACCGAATATGAAGACATCATGAGACGACACAAACTGGGAGAAAGGAACGAAAATGGTGAGAGATTCGCAAACCTATGTGCCTTCAATAAACTGGTCATAGGCGGCATTATATTCCCACATAAACGCATTCACAAAACCGCAAGGACTTCACCTAATCACACTAAGCAAAACCAAATCGACCATATCTGCATCAACAAAACGTCCAGGAGGACGATGGAAGACATGAGAACCAAGAGGGGAGCTGATATGGCATCAGATCATCACTTGCTGGTCGCCAAGATGAAATTGAAACTCAAGAAGTACTGGACAACGGGGCGGACAACATCACAAAAGTTCAATACGGCCTTTCTTCAGGATACTAACAAACTCAACAAATTCAAGATAGTCCTCAGCAACAAGTTCCAGGCCTTTCATGATCTACTCAATGGAGAAGGAACTACTGTGGAGAGCACCTGGAAGAGGACCAAGGAGGCAATCACTTCAACATGTCATGAGGTCCTGGGTCACAAGAAGCACCATCACAAGGAATGGATCACTGTTGATACACTGGATAAGATTCAAGAAAAGAGGAACAAGAAGGCAGCAATCAATACCAGCCGAACAAGAGCAGAAAAAGCCAAAGCACAAGCTGAATACATAGAAGTAAACAAACAAGTGAAGAGGTGCATCAGAACCGACAAACGTAAATATGTGGAAGATTTAGCTATGACGGCAAAAAAGGCTGCAAGAGAATGAAACATGAGAGAACTGTATGACGTAACAAAGAAACTCTGGAAAACACCTTAAACCAGAACGACCAGTGAAAAGCAAGGAAGGCAAGGTAATCATCAATTTTGAAGAACAATAAAACAGGTTTGTAGAGCACTCTTGAATCGACCAGCCCCACTGAACCCACCCAACATCGAAGCAGCACCCACGGACCTCCCAATCAATGTTGGCCCGCCAACAATTGAAGAAATCAGCATGGCCATCAGACAAATCAAGAGCGGCAAAGCATGGAGACCAGATAACATTCCAGCAGAGGCACCGAAGGCAGACGTAGAAGTAGCTGCAAGGATACTCCACATTCTCTTCAGTAAGATTTGGGATGAAGAACAAGTACCAAGAGACTGGAAAGAAGGACTTTTGGTCAAAATAACAAAAGTCGATCTCAGCAAGTGTGATAACTACAGGGGCATCACTCTTCTCTCAATACCGGGAAAAGTCTTCAACAGGGTATTGTTAAACAGGATGAAGGACTCCGTAGACGCCCAACTTCGAGACCAACAGGCAGGATTCCGTAAGGATCGATCGTGTACGGATCAAATCGCAACACTACGGATCATTGTGGAACAATCAATTGAATGGAATTCATCACTCTACATCAACTCCATTGACTACGGAAAGGCATTTGATAGCATGAGCAGAACAAAACTCTAGAAGATTCTTCGTCACTACGGCGTGCCTCAGAAGATGGTCAATACCATACGGAATTCCTCTGATGGATTAAACTGCAAAATTGTGCATAGAGGACAGTTGACAAAGTCGTTCGAGGTAAAGACCGGTGTCAGGCAAGATTGCTAACCCTCACCCTTTCTCTTTCTCCTGATGATCGACTGGATCATGGAGGCGTCAACATCTGGGGGGAAGCACGGGATACAGTGGTCATCTGGGATGCAGTTGGAGGATCTAGACTTCGCAGGTGATCTGGCCCTCCTATCAAAAACGCAACAACAAAAGTAGGAGAAGACGACCAGTGTGGCAGCAGCAGGTCTCAATATACACAAGCCGAAAAGCAAGATTCTCCGATACAACACAGCATGCACCAATCCAATCACAATTGACGGAGAAGATTTGGAAGATAAAAAAACCTTTACATACCTTGGCAGCATCATTGATGAACACTGTGGATTTGCTGCAGATGCGAAAGCACGGATTGGTAAAGCAAGAGCAGCATATTTACAACTGAAGGACATCTGGAACTCAAAACAACTGTCAACCAACACCAAGGTCAGGATTTGCAATAAAAATGTCAAGACAATTCTACTGTATGGGGCGAAAACCTGGAGAACTACGAAAGCCATCATCCAAAAAATACGGGTGTTTATTAACAGTTGTCTATACAAAATACTTCCGATTCATTGGCCAGATACTATCAGCAACAACCTACTACTAGAGAGAACAAAACAGATCCCGGAAAAGGAAGAAATCAGGAAGAGGCGCTGGAAGTGGATAGGACACACACTGAGTAAAACACCCAACTGTGTCACAAGACAAGCCCTCACATGGAATCTTCAAGGCCAAAGGAAAAGGGGAAGACCAAAGAACACAGTACGCCGGAAATGAAGATAGACATGAGGAAAATGAACAATAATTGGATGGAACTAGAAGAGAAGGCCCATGACAGAGTGGACTGGGGAATGCAGGTCGGGGGCCTATGCTCCATTAGAAGTAACAGGCGTAAGTAAGTCAAGTTTTCCACTGTTCCAGCTAGTGGCTACTGATAGTCTTGGACAAGGGCACTGTTATTTATCCTCTTTGCTGGCAAGAACGACGTGAAGATGTCGTAAGACTATTGGAATGACTTAAAGACATAATGTGCGGTACTGATGATGCACGTATTTTCGTTATATATTCGGCAGCGACCGAAGTTCCAGCAGTACAGTCTACACACAGTCATGCCAACATTGTACTTTGTTCATTCCATGTCTTAAAAACATTTTTCAGGAAGGTAAGTGTTAGCTGTACAAGTTATTTTCTGTAGTTCCGAAATCCTGACTACATGCTGCCCTGTGGTCATATTTTGTATGCATATTCTAAAGATCTAATTCGTGAAGGTAAGTGTGTGTTTCTTTGTCTCTAAAAGCATTGTAGACTTATTTCAATATACCAGCCGGTGGACAAGGAAATACATAATGAACTTGGTTCTTCGTGCGATGGACGTGTCAATCTCTACAGGGAGTGATGATCTGCTAGAGAAGTTCACTAACAACTACCACTCAATCCATGCTCTTGGTTAACCTTTGACAAGCAAACTTATCCGTTCATGCCTCGAAGCATTGGAAGACATATGCGCACAAGTGGTGAGTCCAATCGGTGCTAATGATGAAGCCACATCGTCAGAATCCATTGTTCTCACTGACTATAGCTATGCATCCTGATAACAAGTTTTAAAATTGTAATCTTTTTAGTTTTACATAAATTAATTTATATGGTCATTAACTTGTTCTTATAGCGTTACGGCAGGGAGAGTGTAATGTGCAGTCTTATGTAGTTGTGAGACATAGGGATGTTGATTGTAACAGTTATCAGGTTGGCGCACACGCGATTAGTCCTACAGACCGTTTACCAAATACTGCAACCCTGAACATGGTGTACTATACTACTAGGTCGAATTCCGGTCTGTCATGATAGATAAGCATTACCACAATTAAAAGACATGTCATAAATAAAAACGTTTATTGAAGTTCAAAACCAGCACAAATGATCCATTAATAAATAACTTCCAATTCTTAGGAATTGATCTTACGTTGTGGTTAAGTGCATCAGGTTAGTGTTGAACTTTCATTCAGTGTTCTGCAAAAACAGTCTATTACAAATGCAGTATCAGAACATCCGAAGAGCTCATAGTAGACAAACGAATGCCCCATGTCGTAGCCATTATCCAATCTTATGAATTTATAAAGCGTGCCAGTGGTATAAAAATGTTTTCTGAATTAAAAAGTTCCAGTTAGGTCTGTGAACTCTTGCGAAGCCAGGTGGAAATAAGATAGACAGGAAACAATTATTTCAGTATAAATGTTGACCAGAAACTAATATGAAAACAGAAAGCGGTATTCAATTACAGATCGAAATTACATTTAGTACACTTTCTTTGAAATGCCACCCACGCTAATCTAC